TCATTTTTAAACAATTATTACTGAAAACAAGGACACAGAAAGAATTTTCTCATCAACATATACATTATGTAGAACTCAGCACACTAGTAACTCAAACTTTTTATGGTAAGGTCTGATAAGTCTTTTGAAAACTGCCCTATACTCCTGCAAAGTGTTCTACGTTTGTTATCATCACTTTTTAAGTCTCTGTTATTTTTGACTTATGTATTATTGTCTATCAAGTATTTCCAGAGCTCCAATAATACTTCTATATCAATTTTAGCTACTTTCCAGATTACTGCTTGGTCCTGCAATACAATCAGCATCTCTTCGTTGAATGGCAACATACTGTTTATTGTTTTACCTTGAATCGCTGCTGCCAGTAAGATTTGTCATTGAATTAGGTGTCAATTGAAGGAATCGATTGACTGGCTATGTAATTTGCTCGAGTTGGTCTTTCAGTATATTCACACGTTCAATCAAATTTTTCTCCAAAGAATTTCATTCTTCTCCAAGCTACGTTTGTTGATCTGGCCCTTCGTGTTTCTGACTCTTCCTACTCTGCCGCTGAATATCTACCCCTCATCCAAAACATCTTCGACCTCATAACAAACCTCCTATATTGTTGATCTTTCACGGTTCTATTCCTCCGCTATTTCTACTGAATCATTAATTTCGATTGTCTATTATTGAAGTGTTTGGATTTCTGGATGTAACTGTTCTTCTTTCCATTTCCTTTCTTCATGCCCATATTTTTAGCATCGTCCCTCGTTCTGCTTTCCTTTCCATTTCTTGTTGTTCTAATCATTTTATCACCATCTCTCAGCTCCATTTCCTTTTTCTTTCTTGTTCTTTTCGTTTCTTTGTCGTTTGCTTCATTATTCTTTCGGTTCTAGTTCTCTACTAATTCAATTTAATCTTCCATCTACTTGTTCCTTCATATGTTTTCAATCTTGTATATTGCTCTAACAATAGTTTTGGTCTTCTTTGTGTTTCGTACTCACTTCTACTTTCTGTACACTTTTCCTTCACTACTTTGTATTGCCAATTTTTCAATCTTCATTGTGGGATCAAATGAGGTTGTTCTGGAAGTTATTTCAATGACTTCAAAAATTCAGTAATATCACCACCGCCGCTCAATATGTGGCTCGTTCACATCTCGTTGAAATCATTTGCCGCTGAATCTGCTTCATTATCTTTCCTTCAGTGTCACAAAAAAAATTTCAATATCGATGCCCAAACTTAATATTTCAATATCACTCCACGATTACTCCAATTATTTTACTCGTTTTCTTCTGCTTGCTGAGGCTGCCGTGCTCTGGATTGAACTGATTCTGATCTCTGCAATCGGTCCGTAGTTTATCCAGTAATAGACAGCTCACGAACATCTTCGCGCTTGCTCTCCGACAAAATTACTGATTCAGGGCTGATTCACACATTATCTGTATACGCTTAGCACTTTGATAGCACACTTGATGTTTTGCTAGAGTCTTCTTCAAATACAGAGCTTGTAGGCTGTTTCATGTAGACTTTGAAACACACATTTTGATCAAGTAGACTTTGGATTTTGATACAAGCAGTAAAGCCGTTCTTCAATTAGTGGTTTTGTTCAATTTTCAAACACATTCGCAATAATGTATTATGATTATGAAAAATGGGATATAATAGTCTGTTTTATACAAACCGGGAAAAATGCAGAATCAGCAAGCAATTTGTATCATGAGAGGTATCCTGAGACATTTCGAACACCTTCTCTGAAGAAATAAATTTAATTCTTTCTTCATTATTATTGTCAATGTTTCATTCATAAGAAGTAAATATAGTATGAATTGATTGTTTTATTGAACCTATGCGTTTTAATTACTGCTAGGAAAAGCATTCCCATCAATTGATAGCTACTACTACAGAAAAATTTCTTTCTGTTTCATCGCCGCGTCGTCCAAAGCCTACTTGATCAAAGTGTGTGTTTCAAAGTCTACATGAGTAAGTCTACATTGTGGAGTAAGGCTCGGTTGTTTTCAACCAACAGAAAACTATTTTTTTTTTCCATAAAACGTCTGACCATTTTTCTCCTGATAGCTACTTGATCAAATTTATGAACAAATTCTTTGTGGCAGATGTATGTCAATTTTTTAAAACTTGCGATTTCAATGATAGTACCAATAATTTCCTTGGAAGCTTTCTAACAGCTAGAATCGTCTGACGGTTTCATTCCTGCTAGGTTATTTTTGTTCAAATGAAGTCCCTTTGTTGGAAGTTTCAAGTTTCAAAAGGAATTGAGGGGGGGATTGAGATAATAGTCATTTTCTTCATTCAAGTATTGTGAGATTTCCATTGAATTGGCCGATAACAAATTCAAATAACACCTTGTGGTGAGATTTTATTGGAACAGTTCACAAAACGCTACACGTGTTTCGCTATACAATAGTTTTCTCCACCTCGAGTATGAACACATCTGGCGAAGGTATTGCATAACAAAACACGTGTTGCGGTTTTGTAAACTGTCGAATAGAAATTTCACGAAGAATTGTTGCTTGAATACATCATAGATTCTCGACAAGTATCGGTCAATTTCATCACATGTTTTCTTCATATTTCGTAATAATAAACAGTTCTCCCAATTAAATTTAATTTACAGCCAGCCTGCTCAGTCACTTTGTGTTAGTTTTTTTCCTTATACGAGGAATTGGTCAAAATTCGGATGTGTTACCTCGTTCTCGGGCAGATGGGGCGATGACAAACATGTTGTTGATCGTTCGCTTCTGCCTAGTTCGAGAAATGATACTCTGAAAAGAATTCGATTTTTAATTATCGGAAATCATCGACTTTAGGTGACCAAATAGCCCGAAACTGGTTTGCAAGTATGTTCTGGTGATTGAAAATCAATTCCATGTAGTTGTATTGCCAACAGCATATGCAGGAATAACTTCAGTGGAGTATCCTGCACTGACACCTATCGGATATAATCCAACGCCCTTCGTGATATTAGCCAGGGGAGTAGTTGTTTTCTGATGGGTGTCAGTCCATTAACCTACAGTGTAGGTAAGTTGAAAAGGCCCGAACAAATTGTTTTTTCAGGAAATTTGATTTACAGCCAGTTTTCAAGTATGCTCACTCACTTTGTGTTATTTCCCCAAATGTCATTACTTTTTTATGTCAACTGACAATATCACTAGCGATCGATTTGTTATTTTGCCCGACATTTGTTGGTTAATTTACATTTTGATTATATATTCATACTTCTTTCATTATTTTCCAATCATTCTGGTCCTGATTTTTTCAGCATTTCCAAAATTTCAACAATAATTTTTCATGTCTTCCCATCACAAGAATGCACCAACCACGTTCAGTGACCTACGCCATATCAGCATTTCGCCCTCATTCTCTAAAATATTCGAGATAAATGTTTTCCGTCAAGTAAGAGCTTTTCTTGAAGAAAATCGAATACTCCCGTATGAGCAGTCTAGGTTCCGCAAAAACGCGGAACACAGGTTGCCCTCTTGAAAGTAATGGACGATCTTGCGAGATTCAGAGATCAATCAGAAGTCACCATTTTAGTACTGCTTGATCAAAGTAAAGCTTTCAATTTAGTTAATTTCGATTTACTCATCAGCAAGCTCAAGTTCATAGGATTCGATGACATTTCTCTTAAATGGATGATCAACTATCTCACAGGCCGATCACAGATGGTCAAACTGGATGAATACTCATGGTCATCCCTAAAAGAAACAATCTCAGGTGTACCGCAGGGAAGTATTTTTGGACCCTTGATGTTTTCTGTGTTTATTTTTGATTATCACACTTTCTTATCACATTGTCGAGTACATCAATACGCAGATGATATAAAGTTGAAATTATCATCAAATAACACTGATACAGAGAGATGTGTGGCCAATATAAACACAGATTTGCATAAAACATTCCTACAATCGGAGAATCATGGACTGTCAATCCAAATAAAAGTTTGGCCTCATGCATAGGATCTCAAAGACAAATAGTAGAAACTCAGTGTTACTTTAGGCTCACTCTCTAAAAATCTTGGCGTAACCATAGATAGCTCTTTGTTTTTCCATGAACATGTAACAAACATTTGCAAAGTATCATTCTTCAAACTAAAATCGCTATATAAATACAAGTATCAGTTATCAGAAGAAATGAAACTGAGGTTAGTTAAAACTCTTATTTACCCCCATATCGAGTATTGTTGTTCGGTGTATTACAATTTTTTGCCGCACTATAGCAGAAGTTACAACGTATACAAAATGCTTGCATGCGATTCGTATGATGTATACCATATAGTGAACATGTCACACCATTTTTGTTAAAAATAAAGGAGCTGAATGTGAGGTACATTGTCCAATAGTTGATAAAAATGTGTTTGTTTAAGTTGCTTCAAACTGAAACACCTAGTTATTTATATAGTTTATCAAGCAGGCATTCTGACATACATATGGTCAATTTGAGAATTAACTCATTCAACATACCTAGGCACCGTACTTCTGAATTTCAAGGGTGTTTTTCTTATATAGCCCCTTCTTATCTGAATGGAATTTTACCCGTTTTAAATCATAATATTCATCAATTTAGGAAAGAAATACTGCTCAGTATTAATTAAAAATTCAATGTATGGCAGTGTGATGAAATTGTTGAATTGACCAAAATAATTTAAAGAATATTATAGTTATTACCAACTATATGATCTATTATTTTTTGCCTCTTCTCTATGATTGTTATGATAGTATATAAGTATTTTTATAATTATTTTCCTACACTCACTGTACGATAAACCCTTTTCCTTCTATGTATAAATGTATTTTTATGCACAATTAATGCAATTTATGCATAATAATAATTATTATTATTATATCATATATCAACACTCTGTCGATAGAATTCCGAACCTGTAACATTCGACTCCTGACATATCCATTATTGAATATCATTTCAACATCAGTCACCGAAAACTGAGTATCGAAGCGATACTCATAATATCACTCAACATATTTCGAAATATATCCACAGGACATGACTGACTGTTAGAAGTTTCATCTTATATTTACCACATGACGCTGTAGTTCGACGCCTACGACGCTACTTCAAGCACCGCGACGTATAATTCGCCAGTTATCTCAGCGATCTTGTGAAAAAGCGGCGACGAAATATTCAGGTGAGTGTCAAATTTTTATTCTCATATGGGAATGCTTTTTTGATATTTGATCTCGAAATCGAAGCGTGTTGCAAGTTGTATTTTTAGAAGTAGATCACTGACTGCGGGTGACTAATGGTGAATATTTGTTTTAGATCTGTAATTGGGGTCTGTCATATATTTATGAGCTCAAAATAGTCTGGTGCTCTTCAACAACTATTTTATACATCATTCTTTCTGAACACCATTCAAAAGTTCAGCAGAAAAAATAATAATTTGCATAACTTGCATCCAAATAGTTGAAAATGTATTTCTGAATATTCGTATTTGATATCTCATTTAGATTTTAAGGGCTGATTTCAAGCAATATTCCGGTACAAAACAAGCCTTTTCTTAAGAGTTATTTACAAAATTTTCTACAGAATTTAAGCACTCTACAAAATTTTTTTTCATTTTTACCACAAAAAATTATATTTTAGGAATATGTCCATAATACTTCACATTTTTGCTAACCTGTTTAATTTTAATTGATGATTCATTTTTGAATTTCAGTTGGTAACTTAAAAATATTGATTTTTTTTCAATTTTGCATAAGCTTTCCAACTAATAATTTTAAAAAGTTTTCAATAAAATTCACCATCTTGAACAATCAGAAGAAAATAAGAAAATAGTTCTTATAATTAATGATTTGATTGATTAGCTTTTGTATTGAATATTACTGGAGTTTTATCTTCCTCTTGAAGATGATCACTTAGTGATCGAAACACGTGTCGAGGTGTTGAAAATAACGATTTGGTGTTGGGAAACACTCCAGTAATATTCATTACTACAGCAAAGGTTCCAAACAGTATATCATAAGCTTTTGTATTATCAAAATACGCTAACTATTGATAAATACAGTTTCTCAAGTAACTCAGAATCGTGAATTGATAACATATAATGTTTTTTCGAAGTATTTCGTTTTCATCCCACAATGAATATCTGAGCTAAATCACTATAACAAAAATGAGAGGAAAGAATAATTTTCCCAACCCTGATCTTCAATTGCAAAAAATATATATACTTATCCTCAATGAATTTTCAGCAACTTTTTTTTCAAACATAAATCTCAGTTCGTTTGTTCAGTCCTTTTTTTATTTTTCAGAAACCCCAAAAATCAGATGAGTCATCCTATACTAACAACCGCATTTGTGACTGAGTCTTCTGCTCAATTCACCAAACCATCCTTTAAACTCTGTACTATTTCACATAGGTGAGAAGTTATTTCATATGTGAAAAAAATCGCTTCAACAAAAATGATTCGAAAAACGAACTTCGCCATCGACTTCAGATGGTGAAATTTAATTTACACTTCGACTTCATTGAAGAGGATTCTCCAAGACAATAATCAACTTCCCCTTCCATATGAATTTTAAAATCACCAAATATCACCTATAACAAATTTTCATACGGCTACCATCAAAAACGATACCCAATCCCTCAAAATTATATTAGCTCTCCACACCATGCAATTCAGATTAATATATAAGGAGTCGTAAAATTGAAACTATCACGCGACAAAATGAAGAAAGGTTGCAGCTGCGTTGTTTAACGTAGTGAATCATTTCGAAGGATAAGGTCCTATTTTTTATTTGTACTGTCTTCACCTCACCTATTTTGAAATTGTTAGTTGTGATTTGAATGGGGTGCCCGACTCTGCTCAGGAAGTTGATATGAGATCGCGTGTCGTTGGATTAAAAGAATATACTCGAAATTATATACTGCTTCACATATCGATATCAATGTGTATTCTCATCCTAACTAAGAGGGATTCGAATGGTCCACATTGTTTCAGAGCATTCCACAGCATTGGAGACTGTTCTGAATTGTTCCAAAAAGACCTAGAGAGCATTCGTGATACTTCCCAACGTTCTAGAATATTCTTATTTTACTATTATGGTGAATCAATTAGTTAAATTATGTTTGACTTCTTCATTATCAGAGAGATTACATAGATATGATTTGGAGCATAAAATTGTTTCGGTAATTGAGAGTGCATACTTATAAGAAAAGTTTGATAAAGAAGTAAATTTTTTTAATATGTAATATGTAAAGTGGTTGAAGAATTTGTCCTGTTGAGTTTTAATGTTTGGAGAGTAAAAATTCTTTCATTTAATTTTTAAATTTATCAATATTATACATTTTGAACTCTTCTGGTAACAAAGTGTACATACGGATTCCATTGAAGACAAGTGATCTTCAAAAAATGTCTGCTTTATGTTGGGGCATGATAACATTCTTTGAATGGATTTGAGATCGGGAGTGAAGCAACGTATGAGGTTTGGTGGTTCATGATTATTCAAATTCTTTTTAATGAAGGTACTCAAATGAAGTTGTCTTCTGTTATCCATGTAATGCACTGTTTGGAACCTTTGGTGTACTAATGAATATTACTGGAGTTTTTCCAACATCAAACCGTTATTTTAACACCTTGATACGTATATTACTGGAGTTTTTTCCCAACACCAAATCGTTATTTTTAACACCTCGACACGTGTTTCGATCACCAAGTGATCATCTTCAAAGAGGAAGATTAAAACTGTTTTAATCTGAAACACGTGTCGAGGTGTTAAAAATAACGATTTGATGTTGGGAAAAAACTCCAGTAATATTAATTACTACACCAAAGGTTCCAAACAGTGCATCATAAGTACCTTGATACGTGTTTCGATCACAATGTGATCATCTTCAAGAGAAAGATCGACCTATATAGTGATGGGAAAAAACTCCAGTAATATTCGATTTTCCATGTTGAGTCACTTACAGTCAATGAATTTATGAAAGATGGGTTCATATTTCCTCATCCCACAAAATAGTTTACAACAACTATTTTGTACCTTTTCAACTCGCCTTTTATCAACGATCCTCAAGCATGGACTGTAAATGAAGTCACAGTAACTGAAGTGACTCACATAGTGTACGTTTCAATTTTTTAATTGGGAATATGCTGATTACTCCAAATGAGCTTGAGTGATCCAAAAACTCTGCCTACCAGACTTTTGATGTACTGGGAAAAACGCATATCAGAATCCTTTTCAAAACCCAAAGTTTTGAAAAGGATTATTGTCTATGTGAAAAAACCATAAGAATATTCTTATTATTTTTATTACAAAAAAAAACTATTTCAGATTCATCCGAATTCAGCTTCAGACAGTGTTTTCCAACAACTTTTTTTACCTTTTTGAGTTTATGATTTCCTTAGCTGCATCTGAGCACTCCATACTGAAATTCAATTACAACTGTGTATCATCTGCATAAGCCTGCACTTCACAACGTTCCACCTCTTTTGAAATATCTGCAGTGGTTCTGAAATAGATCGCTGAGAAATCCCTGATAATTCATTCAGACAAGATGAATATGATCCACTTTCCAAAAGTATATGGGATCGTCTTATGAAATAATATCAGATCAAAAATGTTGATTGCATATTGAACCCGAAATACCTTAATTTGAGACAAAGTAATTCCTGACTAATCGTGTCAAATACTTCGGAGAAATTGAGTAATAACAAAGTGGTTGATGAAATTGCATTATTTGCAGAAAAGATATCATTAGTCAAGCTGCAGCTGTGATTTCAATACTTCTACAAGGTCTAAAGCCAAATTAACACTCGTGAAGTAAATTGGTCGATGTGAAGTAATCATAGACTTCGTTGTATAAGATTATTCAGAATAAGATATCTTGCCAATTACGACATTGTATGTGATGATTTTCAACAATAGAATCAGTACTAATAGGCATATGCCATCGCAGACCTATGTGGACCCATAAAAGAAAAACAATATACATAGCATGCATAGTTGTTTCATTGTTGCAAAGGAACTAAGCAGTAGCTTCAATGTAAGCTCGCAAGGTACTAGTTCTCAAGGAAAACGTCATATTTCAACCAATTCACACAATGTATTGATAAAACATACGTACAAACCTTGTTTTGGATCACTCTGTCCATTGGTGAAAACGATATGAAAATCCGTTTGGTAGTTGTTAAGTTCAATGCCTTCAGAGTGGACAAGTAGACAGACAGACACGGTGAAAATATCAATTTCAAGGGTCTTTCACTGACTGCTTACTATCTTTGAAATTGAACAAAGTTTGGGATATCCAAGAAAATTTTCTATTCTTTCGAAAGACCTATTGATGCCATTATGTGTGAAACATAACTTCGTTCAAATATCCGCCACGACTTCTCTGGGTATCGCGCAACTGAAAAGTCTAATTTTCCATGACTCTGGAGAATAAATCAGGCTGAATTTGACCGATGCGTTGGCTTTAAGGACCGCTGTGGTTTAAAGCTCATTCTTATAAACCTGAGACTTGGGAAAACCCCACAAAAAGTATAACAGGGTCAAATCGCACGATATCGGTGACCCGTTCACGTCACCTCCACGTGAGATGACCATCTATCAAAATCGTTCGTGCATCCAATGAAGCATGAGCTTTGTGGCACGTATCGCCGTTCTGTTAAAACCACATCCAGATCGTCCATTTCAAATTGGTAATCATCGGCCTTTAGTGACAGTGATGGCCCGGCCAACGTCGTTCTCAAATAACGATAACGCCGCCAGCTCAAAATCCACACCAAACAGTGACTTTTTCGGGATACATTGGACGATTTTGGATTTCATGTAGATTGGCATCATTTTTCGATGAAACTTAGGGTCAGTTGCCAACTGCTCCAGAGCCCATTCAGCGAACACACGTCGTCATCTATGGTCGTTTACCTTCAACACTCACAGCCGAATTCTGTGACCTCTCGATGACATTCGACTGTGTGTCACACTTGACTCAACTCGATAAACTTCCGTACTATAGAATTAGGAGGAAAATATCTTATTTGATCGATTCTTACCCATCCGAACGAAAGCAGGTTGTGGAACAAAGTAGTGTGAGATTTCCAGCACTGAGTGTAACAGCAGGTGTGCCTCAAGGGTCAATCTTGGGATCCCTTCTATTCCTAATATATGTTAATAATCTTCCACACC